CATACAAGTTTTCGGTCCCAATACGGAAGACTTTGAAGTTCAATACTAATACTATTAGTAGTATTATTATATAGTAATAGGTCAGTGCTCAGGTCTACTAACTCAGCTTAAGCTTACGTATAAAACATTAAAATACTAGTATACTAAAAAAATTACTAATTAGAATAATCAGAATGCCGCGAATTAACTTTGAGCAGTCATTTCTATCTTTGTCTAGCGTTAATTTAGGCCTAAAGTTAGGCAAATGCTGCTTAATTACCTGTGTGTACTGTTCGAGTCTTCTGCGCTTCGCTACGAGACTTTTGTTAATGTCTACACCAAAACATTCTAAAAGTTTTGAGAGATCGCCAGTAAAATCTGCTGGATTTCCAATTCCTGAATCATCTGGATCCACACTAATGGCATGACGTTTTACTGGCCCATTATTTTGTGGACCGTTTGTTGTTCTAGTACTAGTAGAATTTCCATTATGATCCAAGTCTAGTCCTAACCTTAGTGGACTCAGTTCTCCAATTAAGGGCGATTCAGTGCAGAACTCATTTTTATCTGAGTTGTTTACATTCGTATTTTCTTTTTCTTTCGTATTTTTCTTTTGTCCTTTACGCGACATTCTTATTAAATGAGTCTTATTTGTATATTTTTGGGTGCTGAGAGGAAAACAAGTAACAAATCTTAGATTCTAACTTAGAAATTAAGAACTTCCTTCTCAAGTCTTGATCGTCTGGTGTAATTAGTCTACAGGTCTAGAACGAAAAAGAGACAGACGATTACATTTTTATTGATTTATAATATTTTAATGATAGGTGTCGGATGTTTAGAAAATGCTTAATACATTATTATTATTCACTTTATTTAAAGGACGGGTGAAATATATTTATTAAACTTAAAATTTCAGAAAATCAACTGATTTATATTTTAAACATATTATTTCAAATAAGGGTGTTTTTTCTGTGTGGGGAAGTTAAGCACAGTGCATGAGCATTTATCAGTGTAGTTTGAAGTTTCATTATGAGTAATGTTTATTATACTTATTACCATTTAAAGCACAGGTAATACATTTTAGTTATCACATAAAGAAACCACTAGGCAAACTGATAAGTAAACAATAACGCTTTTTATACTAAATTTGCAAATCAATACACAATAAATAATAGGGGGTTATTGATGATAGACTCATGAGCAAAAATATAGAAGAATATAATTTTAACCACACCACATCTTCCATATCCAGTTCCGACAAGGCTTTTCACCCAATACCAGGGTTCTTCCGCCAGCTGGGACACGACAGACAAATTAATATTCTAGGCACTATTTATATCATCAGTTTTCATGAACAACGATTATTATGATATGAACTACTAAAAGAATTATAATCATTAATCAGTTTTATGTAAATCATTTATCAATCAGATTTTTGGAGTAATGGTTGACAAGACAATATTATTATAACTTTTATACACTGATTATTTATTTTTTATATCATACACAGAGGTGAACAAACCAGCAAGTTAATCCTCTTATTCCCGAGCAGGTCAAGCAACGACAGCATAATTCTAAGATAGAACTACTTTTTCTATATCCAGCGTCGACGATGCCTTTAGGCTAATTATGGGGCTTGTCAGGTCTGCTGGGAGGCGAAGATAGACTAAAAATTATATTTCAAAAAATGTAAAATCTCCAATGGTTAATTCATTTAAAAAAGGCGAAACCTCACTTTTTATACACTTATCAAGTCAGAAAATACATAAATATTCGATGAGCTCACATTACAATTAATGCGTTATTTGTGACTATGAACATTTTACTGAAACCTATATTTATTCTTATTTTAGATATATCTGTCATGTTATAAAGAGTTATATATACACGCTATTTCCGTTAATTTACCCCTGGTTTAGACTACTTGAAAAATATTTTGCCCATACAATTACTTTTTTTCCTTTGTTTACGTTTATAAACTTAACTTTTAATTAAGGAACTATTACGCCTCCAGTCGTTAGTTACTTTTCCGTAAATTCGTTCCGACGAAACTTTAGCGACACAAGTCCTTTCTTAAATAAAACTGGTTTATTCTTTCCGAATACAACTTTACGATACACTTAATTTCAACAGTCGCTCTATAACAAACACTATAATTCACGTCTTGCGTGGCCAACAATATTTTGTCCGCATACATTCAATTACTCATTTTCTGACTACAGTTCAATTACTCCTTGTTCCGTCACGTTGTGACCATCTTATATATATCAGACTACCCTCAATCTAGTAGTCTCCCGATAATTCACGAAGGTTCGAGAAGGACGTGGCGTGATACTAGTCACGTGACCTCGCTGATGCAACACTGCCCCCTCCTTAGTATTGTTCGTCCTGAACAATAGCCACTTGTATTAAACCAATAACAATTAACAATAACTTAATTAAATGTACAGAATTACAAACACAAAATTACAATTCAACAAAGTCCCTTAATTTTACGGGACGTATCTTCTTCCGTACTGGTCTCCGTCTCGTTGACTTCTGCTTCACGTGGGGTGCATCTGCTTCATCAGGAAATGCTCTATCATCGATAACAGTCACATCAGTGGTAGCAACTTCATCAAGAGCTTCACCGTTTCCCTTCTCAAAACTGAGTAGAGTTTCTTCTTCGACGGTGGCACGTCTTCAGCAGCGTCATTTGTTCTGTTGTCCACTTCGTCCCAACTGAAATGTCCTGGACCGTGATAATGCCAAAGCCTGTTGGCATGCACCACTTTTGGCTTACCTCGCCGATCACATTTTACCCGGAAAGTCACGTCTGAGAGACGATCCACTTTGTCATATGGGCCTTCCCATGAGAAGACAACTTAGGAGACTTCCCTTTGGTCTTCCTGGGATTATACAACCATACCTTGTATCCTGGTACAAAGCT